TCTCAGGAATTGTTTTAATAGATTTCTGTTGATTCATGGACTTGGTCTGCTTGATAAGAAAATTAAGGCCATTTTTTATTACAGATTGATTTTGTTTCAAGTCCAATAGTTACTTTTCAATAACATCTATGTACTGCATGATATAAAAGTATACCATGAAATACAGTGTACCAAGTTCTATGTAAAGTTTTGTTCATTTGATTTTTTCCAGTATTTCTTATAATTGTCATCTTTGGTTAAATGAATGGAATAAGTTGTATGGAGGTAGCAATCTTGTGAAGGGTCCACCAGTCTTTTATACTAAGGTACTGTGAATTCTGAAATTTTTGTGTACATTTATTATTGAAATGGTTGAAAAAATGACAAAATGCAAGTTTTGTGATTGCTTTAGATGGTGCATACAAATTTAAAATGCAAGTTTTATATGGTGAAACATATCCTGATGCAATTTTTCCGATAACATTAACATCTCAACAATTTATTCTGATAGGTATTTGTGTCTTTGAAGATAAGTGTTTGTTATTATCATAAATTGTAGATATGATTGGTAAACTCTGTCATTTATTGACAGTCCAAGGACTTTTCATATCTTTTCATAACATTACTTCAGAGACCCATCAGGAAATGTTTGGTATAACTTGATAAACAAAGAAAAGTTGAAGAAATAGGACAGTTAATGCAAAATTCACAAATTATTTTTGAATCCACAATTATTCCATTACTTGAGTATTATAAAGAAGTAATATCAAATTGTACGACATTTGTATTTAAATTCCAAAGTTTCTTCCCCTGATCGAACAAAAGAGAAGACTGTGGCTCTTATTAGACCACTGAGGCAGATTCCACCTCAAAGGGTAGCAGTGCATGTATGATACAATGAGTCCTCTGTCATTGTCAATCAACTACATTTCAGTTCAGTTTGAAACATGAAAATTATTTCCTATTTAAAAATATTTGTGCCTTAATCACTGACAAATTTAATAAAAGGTTCTTCAAGTGAATGATATTTTTTACCATCCTTGATGAACTTGATAAAAGTTATAATTGAATAATAGCTTGGGCAAGTTTGTTTAGGGGATTTTCGCTTGTAAATGTTTGTGAACGTTTGTGACAGCTAGGACATTGGAATGCTGATTGCATGACTTCCTCATCTGCCAAAAGTTAGCTATGATTTATAAAATAAAAAAAACCTGACTTCACTGTATGCATTGCTTTGTCTTCCTTTGTTTTAATATCTTGGAGTTGGTATGTGTCTTATGTAACATGCAAATGTGCATGTATTTTAACAAGTCCTGTATTTAAACCAGTTTTGTTTAGTGATTTCATAATGTAGTTTCATATTTGAAATATTTATATATCATGACTCCCAAATACCCCACCTCCCCTCTCCCTCATAGACAACCTGTCTTATTTGGTGTCCTGATCCATATATATTCTCTAAAAACCAAACAAAAAATCTTGAAAATAAAACTGAAGTACAGGCACCAAACTTATTTTCTCTTTACAGCCTCTGTGTAACAGCCTCTGTGTAACATGTGTAAGTGCACTGTGCATGTTATCAGAGTCTATATAAAAATAAGATGAGGTATGATTGTTTTCTTTTTATGGCCTCTGTCTAAATGCACTATGCATGTTAATAGAGTCTGCACCTTACTCTGGAGATCTCAATAGGAATTGTTTATATCTGCACTAGTGTTTTTTAATGCTCTGCAGACTTTTTCATCACGTCTGTCAAATTTTGAGAAAAACAATAACATCCCCATGGGATACAATGGTATAATCCATGTTGCCAAAACTGCTGAGGAGAATAGTCTGTAACAATTTTCACACATGGGTGATAACAGCATTCTCTCCAATCTGATTGGTTAATTTCCAGCTACACAATCTGGTGTTGTAAAACTGCATGCTGAGTTGGGAAACTTTGTAATAGAAAATTTGTAAATGACTTTGATAAAAAGAGTGTGTGTAATTAATGATTTGAGATAATTTAATAGTGTGAGGGGTGTGTCAGTCACCAGAAGAACATTAAGTTATTGGATTAATTAAAAGTTAGAAGGACTTTTATTGTATGTTACAAACATCAAAGGATTATAATAGTTGGTCACTTTGTACAAATGTTTCATTTGAGGAATTTAAACCTGTGGAGAAAAATGTTGTAGGTATGTAATTTGTTTTGTCTTTATCATATTCAAGGAACAGTTTTGCACACAATTATTGAAACAATTATGTAACTCTTAATCCTTAAAGTACATCACTGTCTGTTGCTATGAGAAAAATCAGATCAGGGGAGATAATAACTGAAGAATACAATTTTAGAATCAAAGACCACTGACAGAATAGATAACAGTTTTCTCCAATATTTTATAAAAAACAGTTTTGATTCACAATTGTGATAAATGCTTTATAGGGTTTGGTTATCTCTGATGGTTTTAATTTAGCATTTAAATTCAGCATGTAGGTTTAAATGAAAGCATATTTATATGTACTGAATATGCATTTAATTTGCCAATGGACATTAAACAGCCATCAAATCATCAAATAAACCAGTTACAGTAAATTTTATATTTTTTTTTCTGTATAATGGAATAGAAAGAAATATAACAGACATTGCTATCACTTTTAAGTGGGTTTTTTTTAAAGGAAAAACCTATAAAAAGAGGTCAAAACAAACTGAAAAAGAATATATAACCCGGCTCACTTCTGTTTGTATTTTTTTTTCTCATTATGAAAAGAATAAGGCACTTTACACAATTGATGCTAACATCAAAATGGTGGATAAAAAAGCAACAACTCTACATGTATGTATCTATTATCTTTCCCTAAATATTGCAATATATTAAATGGAGTACCAAAAATATGTGTATCATCACATTGTGCTCTTACTGATATAGGGTAATCAAGGATATGTAGTTTTGTAAAACTGGTTTCCCATGGAAAACCTGACCAATGTCTCAAGTAAAGACCTCTTTAAGTAACAATGGTGTTATTTTGATTAAAGACTTTTGTATGTCTGTTAGTTCACCTTTTTGTTTGTCTGTTCATACTAGGTGTAAGTCTTAGGGTAGATAATGAAGGTATGGTCACATCAATGTTTAACTGATGATATAAAAGGATACTGATAATATAAAAGGATACCAGGAAACACCAAAAACACTGGTCAGTACAACAGAACACATTAAATACCAATACCTGACCCATCCCCCCTTTAAAAAACAAAACAAAACAAAAAAACAGCCTTACAAACAAAGACTTTAAGCAACGAACAACACATTGTCCAGATAACCTGACTTGGTACATGCACAAAACATAGTCTGGTTAAACCAGTTTTATGTTTAAACAAACCTCTCCTTTCACCTGTCTGTGATATATATATATGTCATAAAAATAGAAGATTGCACAGCACAGATATAACAGGATGACCACTAATAAAAATAGCACATAATATTTGGAAACAGGGACAGAATTTGCTGAACAACAGCAAGCTAGCTAAGGACTTGCAATGGCTGTTGCTGGAAATTGTGACTCAAGAAAAATATAATCATTAACAACACTTCTAACACGTTTTATGAAGTCTAACCCAATTATTGTTGTTCATTGAACAAAAAAAAAAAAATTAGAAGATTAAAATTTTATGTTTGCCAATGTGACTACTATTCAACAGAGTCCAAATGACATGGATTTAAACAGTTATAGGTCATTGTACATCCTTCAACAATAAGCAAAATTCATACTGTATTATAAGTCAGCTATAAAAGGCCCTGACATGACAAAATGCGAATCAATTAAAAACAAAAAGACCAATGGTCTGATTTATGACAATAAATGGAAACCAGGTATAACAGACAGCAACCAGCGCCAACCATTGCAGGCTCCTACCTTGGGGCAGGCACATACAGAATGTAGCAGGCTTTGTGAGTGCTCAAGCCTGTTCCTATGGAAGGTTGTGCTTAAGTGGGAGCATGGCATGGTGTCCAATGGACATAATTATGTTTTTATTTTGCATTCTTTTTGTAAAGTATTCAAATTATGCAGTTTTGCTAAACTAATTGTGCATTGCAAAGGTTAATATTGAAGGGTCAACAAACTGATTATTTTTTTCAGAAACCTTAAGTTTTGATATGTATTTATCAATCTCCATGTCAAAACTTAAGAACATCACATTTTCAGTATTCTAGTTCATTAGCCCTCCTTGCTGTTGATGAGTTAGGTGCCATTTTGGGGAGTATTTAGGTCTCAAACAAAATAAATCATATTCATATGACTCCTCTGCACCAGGCACGAGGATGACATACCAGTTATGTGCAACTTCTTACAATATCTTACCATATCATTAATCATGTTAGTGTCCTGATACACATTTTAATATGCACCCACCATGCCTTATAGCACCGTCCCTTGGTGCCTCCTGCAGTTAAGCTAGATATATTTAGCCTACTCACAGAATTCTTTTTTGTTACTTTCTAGAGGTGTGCCTGAGACGAAGGTTTTATATATACTCCTATATATATACGAATATGTGAAAACTGTTGTTTCTTATTTGTGTTTGTAACTATGTATACTGTATTGTTCATTATATTTGTAAAAATAATATTATAATGATATTATATTATGCTCCTTGTGAGCCCATTTGATGGAAATAAAGCATCTTCTTCTTCTTCTTCTTCTTCTTATTATTGAAAAAAAACTATAGGGAAGTAACAACAGGTATCAAAAATGATATAAGGCTCATATACCAGTATACATAGTTTACTAGTTCAACATTTAACCCTTGTAGAACACTCCTGGATGGATTTTTAATGAGATTGAGTCAGCCTGTATTAATTTTAACAGGGACCTGATACATAATATTTATAGGTTGTGAACAGAATTACAATTAAGATGTTAATTAAAACAAAACCAGTTGATAATTGGGCTATTTTAGAACCAAGTTGATACACAATTTAAGATAAAGTGTCAAATGTGAGATAATCATGATAATAGAGAGCTTATAATTATTTCAGAGAGTTGAATTACGAAGATAAGAAGTGAAATATTACCTACAGAGGTAAGATATATACTTTACTTAATTAGTTTGAAGTCAGTACATAGTTATTATCTTGTTTTGTAAAGTTATGGCATGAAAATAATCCTGTCATATGTCAAGACTAACTTCGGTCAAAGACGTTTTATTTAAATCTGATTATTTATGTTGACCATGAAGGCTTTTTTTCAGAAGTCAAGACTTACTTTGGCCATGAAGGTTTTTTTAGATCTGATCTTTGTAAATAAGTCAAATTAAAGCTCTGTCAGTTCTTTTACAAATTTATTCTTTATGGGGTTAATTAAGGTAATGATTGAAACACAATACAATATTATACAATTCTACATAAGAATAAGAATTTTATTAGTTTAAAATCAAAAACAATAGGATTGTTTCTAAAGAAAAATATATAAATAACAAAACAATAGACAGAAAACAATACAAACATGTAGTATTGAAAAAAAACGAATGTTTAAATGTTAATATTTATTACAATTATCTACATGAATACTATGAACATCACACGCATATTTTGAAAATTATGGTACATGTAGATGTCTGATGTACAAAGACCAAAAATATTGTAAAATAAGTTACACAGTAATTCAAGTGATTTTGATGTGGGGAACTATCCTCATTATCCAGTGTTGGGCCTGATGTTTCCTCAGAAACAGTTTATTTGAAAAAGTTTCAAATCATTCTTTATTTTTGAGGAAAAAATTATCATTTTCTAATTTTTGGCCATTTGGGCCATTTACTGGTCACTCCTATGTGGGTAACTCTAAAGAGTAAGTCCATTAACAAGAAGAAGGTAGTTTTATGCCAGTTTCATAATTATACTAAAATATTCTGCAGTTAAATACTTTTATCTGACTTAACAATGGTTCGATGATAATCATGATAATGTGTAGAAAAAGAGCTTTTTTATCCTTGTTTGATAACACCTGTAGTGTTAACAGCTGTGTATCTTGTGTATTGGGTGAAATCCAGGTTCTTTGACACCACAGTTATACAATACATATAAATAAACACTAACATAACACCGAATAGCAAAAAGTTTAGTCAGGAAGAAATTCTATTGGCCAAATAATTTGTACCAAGTTTTCTAGTAACATTTGACCTTGAAATCAACACATAGAATCTGAGGTATTTAGGGGTTATCAGACCTTCTCATAGAATCTGAGGTATTTTAGGGGTTATCAGACCTTCTCATAGAATCTGAGGTATTTAGGGGTTATCAGACCTTTTCATAGAATCTGAGGTATTTTAGGGGTTATCAGACCTTCTCATAGAATCTGAGGTATTGAGGAGTTATCAGACCTTCTCATAGAATCTGAGGTATTGAGGGGTTATCAGACCTTCTCATAGAATCTGAGGTATTTTAGGGGTTATCAGACCTTCTCATAGAATCTGAGGTTTTTTAGGGGTTATCAGACCTTCTCATAGAATCTGAGGTATTGAGGAGTTATCAGACCTTCTCATAGAATCTGAGGTATTTTAGGGGTTATCAGACCTTCTCATAGAATCTGAGGTATTGAGGAGTTATCAGACCTTCTCATAGAATCTGAGGTATTGAGGGGTTATCAGACCTTCTCGTAGAATCTGAGGTATTTTAAGGTTATCAGACCTTCTCATAGAATCTGAGGTATGTAGGGGTTGTCAGACCTTCTCAAAGAATCTGAGGTACTTAGGGGTTATCAGACCTTCTCATAGAATCTGAGGTATTGAGGGGTTATCAGACCTTCTCATAGAATCTGAGGTATTTAGGGGTTATCAGACCTTAATCTGATGTTCAGTAGTTGTCGTTTGTTGATGTGGTTCATAAGTGTTTCTTGTTTTTTATATAGATTAGACCGTTGGTTTTCCCGTTTGAATGGTTTTACACAAGTAATTTTTGGGGCCCTTTATAGCTTACTGTAAAGGTATTTTAGGGGTTATCAGACCTTCTCATAGAATCTGAGGTATTTTAGGGGTTATCAGACCTTCTCATAGAATCTGAGGTATTGAGGAGTTATCAGACCTTCTCATAGAATCTGAGGTATTTTAGGGGTTATCAGACCTTCTTATAGAATCTGAGGTATTTTAGGGGTTATCAGACCTTCTCATAGAATCTGAGGTATTTTAGGGGTTATCAGACCTTCTTATAGAATCTGAGGTATTTTAGGGTTATCAGACCTTCTCATAGAATCTGAGGTATTTTAGGGGTTATCAGACCTTCTCATAGAATCTGAGGTATTTTAGGGGTTATCAGACCTTCTCATAGAATCTGAGGTATTTCAGGGGTTATCAGACCTTCTCATAGAATCTGAGGTATTGAGGGGTTATCAGACCTTCTCATAGAATCTGAGGTATTTCAGGGGTTATCAGACCTTCTCATAGAATCTGAGGTATTGAGGGGTTATCAGACCTTCTCATAGAATCTGAGGTATTTTAGGGGTTATCAGACCTTCTCATGTAACAGAAGAGTAACATTGGATAAAGGTCACCCGTAATTTCTTACAATGCAGGAAACTTTTGCCAGGAATTTATGTAACTGTCAGTTAAAGGCTGCAAGTAGAAATATTATGATGTATTTAAAAACATCAAGAATGAACCTAGTACATGTAGCACGTGTATTGTGGCCTTAGAAGTTTGAGATATGGTAACAATGATTAAACTTATTAAGCTAAGTCTTATGATATGGGGTTCCTGAGAAAGTTCTTATTTAAATTAGTAGCTTAGTTTTAATGATTAGTTGATTGCTAAATGTCCAGTAGCAAGTATTTGATGTATACAATTTAGCATGAGAAATCATATATTGAATTTGTGCATCACATTTTTCTCATTTTTATCTTTCATAAGTTGGAGCATTTCTGAGAACAATTAATTTGAAGTTTCTTTAGGGTCAAGCTAATAATTCATATCCTAGATTAGCACTAATTTTCAGTGTTCACCAGTGACCCAATCTTCAGTGTCAACCATACTAACCAATCAAAGGAAACCTCAAAATAGACATGGTTTTTGGTAAGAACTACTTCTTTGTTTTGATGAGGAGGTTAATAAAAACAATACAGAAACAGATGTTTAGTGATAAACAAGTGATGCCATGTCTTGTGTACTGACTTATGAAAAAACTGTAAATTGTTACAAACAAATAGCAAATATATACACCAAAAATTTCCTCTGTATTTGTTTCACTTACAGAGTCCAAATTTGAAAATTGTCAAATCCCACCGGAATTTGAATATCAAGAGTACATCTTATTTTCAAAAAAAATTTCAACAAATTTTACTTCCAGAAAAGTACTACATGTACTAGGTCCATTCTTCCAGAAAATCAAAATTTAACTCGGGCAGCTAGATGTTGCTGTTGAAATGCATACCATGTAATATTGTTTAAAAATGGTTTTGTAAGTTTAGCATCAAATGACACCATTAACCATTAGTAAATAATGTGTATCCATAATGCTATATATAAGCTGTACTTCAAATGAATTAGGGTTTTGGTTTAGACTCTTTCCTAAACTTTTTTGGGGTAAAAGATCGTAAAATACTGCAAACTTGCCAAAATCTGACAAAATTAACATTTGAGCTATCTTCAGGCATTTATGTCTTGGTCATAGGATGAGAAATAAGTTATGATATTGTTCAAACTTCAAAGTACACACTGGGAGCAGTCATTATTATGACTGAATATAAGTAAAGATTGAAAGACCTCTTGAAAATGGCCCTGGTATAAAATTAACTCAGGGTAAATTGGCCGTACCTATTTTTCAGATAATGAGCCAACATATTTTTGTTGCGACATCAAATATAAATTAAATTGAATCATTGTCAGGAACTTGTGTGGTTGGGTTGCTGTCTCAACATAATTGTGAGGTAATATTGTCCTGAAATATTTGATAATTTTGACTAATGAGTTAGTATACAGTGGGCTAAGTCTCACAGCTGTGATCTCTAGTCTGTTTGAGGTTGTGAGAACCACCCTAGTTACAGGTGAGTTGGACTTCAACCTTATTTGCATGACTATGATGGCTTTTGTAATAGAACAATAATAAAATCTCTTTTGATTTCAAACATAGAATGACTTGGAAGTACAAAAATCTATGAGAAATCTTTTAAGAGCTTTATTTTAGCTATTTTCTCTATTTAGATTAAATCAGAAAATTTGATCTTGAAGAATGATCAGAATCATGGGCAAGAAAACCCTAAATGCAGTATTGACACATACTTTTCTTGTCTAACATTTATTAGAAATTGTCCTGACTGCGATGATTGATCCTGTTGTATACTTTAGCCTTTAGTTAATTATCAGGCAGATCTGGTGTTAATTGCTTTATAACTAGAAAATAATTAATGCCAGAATCATTGTTTCAACATTAAATGCATCATCGTGGTTTATGATATTACATTTAGTTATCTAGCTTAAGTCCACCAGATTCCATCTCTACATTCAAAGCAGAAATGAACAATATTGTAGTTTTTGAGTTGTGTAAGAAAATGAAAGGCAAGACTTAAGCGTTCTTTTTCGTCAGCCATAACCTTAACAATGTATTAGTGGTTTTTGAGTTCTTGAAGAAATCCAAAAAGCAAGACTTAGTGATGCTGTTCAATCAGCCTTGACATCAACAATTTATTAGTTTGTGATAAGGTCAGTTTTAAGGGATAAATGATATATATTTATTGATATTTGGTACAAAGTTGTATACTAGTAAGCATTGGCACATATCATTTCCTTGGTGATTATCTGGCCCTCCTCAGTCATGGTGTATTTTATTTTAAAACTTTTGTATAATTTACATGTTTAAGTTTGTGATTAGGCTAGTTTAAAATGAACCACTAATGGTAAGTCGATGACATTTGGTATGCAGTAAGTTTGTGATTAGGCTAGTTTAAGATGAACCACTAATAGTAAGTCGATGACATTTGGTATGCAGTAAGTTTGTGATTAGGCTAGTTTAAGATGAACCACTAATGGTAGAGGTCGATGGCATTTGGTATGCAGTAAGTTTGTGATTAGGCTAGTTTAAGATGAACCACTAATGG